GAGAACAGCATTCCTAGGGGCTGAAGTGTCAAGAGATGTGGCTTGCACAATTAATTTACATTACTTAGATTAACACTGAAGCTTTATTATCAGCAGCATTAGCTCTAACAGGCATGAGAAAGATGATACTAAGGGGCTAGAGTGATAAAGCAGTACTCTATGCATGGTTCTGTGGACAAATGAGTATGACTTAGAGAATATTGTCTCTGGAGATCACATGCCATTTGTAGCTATAAACCACACCTGAGGGCTTGGCTTGCCTTTTGCATTACCAGAATAATTGTCTGAAGCCTAGTAGATGCTAATTTCATTTTGGAGAAGCATCTCAGACCTGCCCAGCAGAGGGATAAGGACTACAGTCATTTTTCTATTTGATCAACTTTCCCTATGTATAGATATGTAGGTGCAATGATTGATTCTGCAGTGTTGTATTGTAAAGCAGATAACTGTTCACAGCTCCAGACAACAGGGACCAAATATTATGAATAGACTTTGCTGCATCTTCTGCCAATGCTCTAAGTGGCAATGCTGCAAAAATAAGAGTCCTGTTATATCAGCTGGTATTAAGAAGATCTTTGATCATATATAGCACACATTACATCTTTTAGGGTTCCTGAGCCCTGTGTTTCTTTGGGGTGACTAGCCTAACATCTTCACAGACAGAAGAAGACACAGTTTGATGTAGCAGCCCCTGGTGCTGAGGAGCAGGACCTGCATGGTACTCTTCTCACCTCTCCACACTCTGAGCCTTTCATGCCCTACTCTGGCACAGCCCAAGCACTTGAGGCAGCCCAGGTGCCTTCCTTTTCTGTTTAAAACTAACAAAAGGCACTGAATTGTCTTCCGGTTCTGGCATTTGTTGCACAGCTTTGTGTTACTTTTGTCACCCAGCTATATGCTCTTCAGAAAGGAAAAGTGCCAGAAAAAGTGCTCATGATTCTAGGAAATGGGGAGGAAAGGAGATACCCCACCCACACCCAACTGGACACTAACTGGAGATAAGAGATCAGCCAACCGCTCTCCTACAGGCAATATGTTTATACTCAAGCACTACCCAGACTTTTGGAGCAAAACCAGTCTAAGAAGGAGGCGTGAGCTCCTCAATACCCCAAGGTGATGCAGGTCTGTCAGAGCACTAGGAGCCTGCCAGGTGTGGTATGTCTCCTCCCATCCAGCAAATAGCAGCCCTTCCTGGGCTGCAGCCAGGACACAGGATGGGGCATAAGGCAGGAGAAAAGCATGCCTCTGGCCTTGAGTGTGTGCTGACAGTTGTTCTTGGAGTTGGAGCTTCACACAGAAATGTACAGCTTCACTTTGTGTACTATCATATAATGCTACAGTGCAAACCAAAAAAAAGCAGCTACTACTTTCCATTATGGGAGTGCATCTACAGTATTTAATAGGAGCAAACACACGGCGTTTAAAGCTCCTTGGCCAACAGACATCTTCCTAGTGTACAGATAAAGGGCTGGACTCATCCCCTGCTCACACACACTGTGACAGCTCTCACCACCTCACAGTGCTGTGCTAGTGTTGTCAGCCTGCTCCAGCCATGTCCGCAGCACACTAAGGGAAGAAGGCACAGCAGTGTTCTTTTCCAGCTGTGTCTTGGTAGGAAGGAGCCAGAGCTGGGGAAAGCTGTTCCACTGTATCCATTAATTTTTCATACCTTGATGCCCTTGACATCCAGATGTGATCCATGTGTACAGGAATGTTAAACACTAAGGTTTCAGTTCCAGCTGAGTAATGCTGGCAAATGGGAGAAGACAGCTCAAAAAGTTATTGCAGCTGTTGTGGCTCTCAGAGACTTTCAGAATCTACCTCTCTCTTTCAATAAATTTAAATGTGTGTGTGTGTACTTTTATGTAATTACACACATATCTATAAAGTTAATTTTATTGATAAGTTCAGAATTGGGGAACTCTATTTTATAGTTCCTGCTTCTGTACTATGCCTACCTCCACAACATGCCTTCCAACAAAGTGTTTTTGTTTTGTGTTCCAACTTGGTGGGGATGAAGAGCATCCAATGTATTTTTTTGCTTCGGTTGCGTTTACTAAATTTATAATCATATATGTGCACATTGTCACATCCTTATGTTAAAGGATTCACAGTGTTTGTACTTACCCTCCAACAAATATTCACCGAATTACTCTGGCCAAAGTTTTAAATCCCAGACATAAGGCAAAATTTTGGTTATGTGAAGAATCATACAAATTTATACATGTCTTGAAATCAACATCCTTAAATTCCAGACTAGGTAATTATTTCATTCCCATCTCTCTCCTCCAAGCTCCTTATCACATTTTTCTTATTTTATTGCGTTCCAACACAGCTGATGATTTCTGTTCTACAAAATGCTGTATTATGCAGGGGCTTATCAGGGAAACCAAATTTCTTCACACAAAAGCAGAATTACCTTTTCCCACCATGGTTGTATGTTCCAACTACATTTATTCTGAAAAGGAGGGAAGGACATTTTCTGAGCTATTACTGTACTGTGAAGTAGCTTTAAGGAAGTTCTGAGCTGCCTCTTGGGTTACCTTTGGTATCTTTAGGACTTTGTTGTATCATTGCCACTGCTCTAGCTGCCACCGTTCACCCTGCCTGGTGTAGATATTTTTGTTACTTGAATACCATACTTACATAAGCTATATGCCATTAGCCTCAGCAGCTACAAGTCAACTACAGAGAACTGAGTTATTCACCAAGAAAAAACACAAAAGGCTGCACAAACCAGGAGCTGGAGCACTATGCTGAGACTTCTGTGTGCCTGCCAGATTGGAAACAGGCAATACGTGTGGCACTAACAAAGATCTGCAGAGCCCTGAACACCATACTTCCATGCACTTCTCTTAGAAAAACAAAACTTCACAGCACGAGTTTTACTAATAGCATGATATGGACATATGTGGAAGCTGAGAAATAGCTGCCACACATTCATAAATTGCTGCTTATTTTCCAGAGCCTTCATGTATTTGCTGCTTAGCAAATACTGCTATCTGCCTGCTGAGCTGTGCAGTGACAACTCTGAGCACCTTCATTTCTCTTCCTTAGGAATCATGGTGGCGTCCTTGTTTCCAAGGATGGATGCTTCACTGCTGCAAAATGGCAGGAGAGAGACCCGCACTGAGCAAGAGATGAGCTGCAGACCCCTCCAGTCTGGGACTGCTTTCTGCAGCCCAACACCCTTCCAGAACCATTTTGATTGCTGTATTCAGCTCATGCTAGTACCATACAGCTTTCTACAGCATTTCACTCTATTTACCCTGTGCTAGAACCACAAGGCTTTCTACAGCATTTCACTCTATCCACCAAGGCATGAATCTTTGCAAAGGAGATGCTCAGCAGTGTTTGTCAATCTCCTTTCACATACACTCACCATCAGGGACTAAAGCATGTTGTATCAAACTTCTGCTCTTAGGGTCTTTTGCATTCAGAAGTTTGACTGTGGTGAGCCTGCATTTTACAGCATGCTTGTAAAAAGCCACGGACAAATGCCAGTTAACAAGCAAGCACTGGGCTGATGCAGTGCAGTCTGTCATCAGCAGCCTCACAAGCAAAGTGTTCCAAATGATACAAAATCTATTACTGTTTCAGAGTGAATTTTTCTGAACTTGTAAAAAAACTGTCTTGTGTAAAGGCAGGAAATCACTGGCTGTTTAACAGAGGCTGGATTCACAGTCTAGCTTTCAAATTTTAGCCTTTAATTGCCTACAGAATTTACATCTAGAGGAAAAGTTTTGCTAAGTTCAAATACTTCAGAGCGATGGCAATGTTCCCTCTTTTGTACCAGAAGAACTCTGATGATATGCCAAATGTTTAAAAAATCTAAAGATTAGAATTTCAACATAGAAGAAATCAGTAATTTTCTGCCTAGTTTATAACTACAAACGTGGAACTGGCCTGCCTCCAGTCTCTTCTGGGTGTGTTCCTGTTATTTATCCAACGTAAGACACAAATGTTGCACTCCACTCTCTAGTCTGAATTATGGGGTGTGATTTTCTAGACAAAAACAACGCACATAATGTTCCTCTTCTCATGTAAGTGCATACACCCTAGTGCTGCTGTTCCTTCTGCACAGTACTGACAAACAAGGCATAATATTTTACTGAGCCACATACTGGTAATTCCTCCAGCACAGACATTGATTGTTTTACACTGAGGATAATGAAAGTCAACCAAGCAAAAACATTTTAAGCCTCAGAGCCTTTATGCAGAACGCTGAGCTGCACCCGACATCATGCTGTCACAGAGCAGTCTCTAGTTGCATGGTGTTGGTTCCTACTTATGATATGCTACGTTATAATTTAACAACAAACGGATTTAAGATTCAGCTAAGACTATACTACTTACAATCTCAGACACGTTTCAGAAGAATATATTTCCACTCAAGCAGTCACATATGTGCTGTGACTGTGCCACCGGTTCCATTTCCTCAGATCAGAAGCAAATATTACCACTGGAGGAGGAAATGTTACCAAAATCTCAACGAACTTGGATGCCTCCATCACTGTGACAGAGGAAACCTTTGGCTGAGAAATGCATTAATTCTAGTGCCCCTTCTTTCTAGTGCCTTCTTCTTTGTAGAAGACAAGACAGATAGTAAAAGGCAAGTCAAGTGAATGTGTCTATTGCCTTCTTCAAAGCGCTTATTCTTCTATGGGAAAACCTGTAAGTGGGTCTTGTTGGCCTGCTAACAGCCAGAACAATAAACTCAGGCAGAACCCTCAGCTCCGCTTTAACAGCCGCCTGCCCCACCAGCTCCTCCAGTTGACAGTGCCAAATCATCTCAAAGTGTATCACCCAGAAGAGGCAGACACACGTGCTTCAAATTTCAATCACACTTAGCACAAAGTCAGGGGGTTTAAGAAATGGGTAAATCATATCTAGAACAGTATGTTCATTAGCATTCATTTTACTGAGCAAGCGAAGTACTCCTTCTTATAGTAATCTAGATTACATTTTATGTAGCACATCTGCCAAGAGTTCTACTACCTTTTATTTTAACTTCTTCAGGAAATGTAGCTACTGAATGTTTTATCAGTGACTTTTGCAGCTGGTAAACCTTTTGAAGGCAAGTTGTGCAAGGCCTACCTTAAAACAAAAACAGAACAAAAGAGGAATCTTGAGTGTATAAGGGATGTAGGTCACTATTAGTACAGAAAGTTTAATAAACACAAATGACAATGTTGTACATCAGGTTCCTTTTGCCACTTCTGTAATATAGCAATAACATGAAATCCCCATGCTATCAAAGTGATATCAAAGAAATGTAAACAGTCATAAATACTTGATGCTTGATAGTTTCTCAATTTCTACTGGTCACATTCAAACAAAGATCAAGACAGCTGAAGAGACTGATACTAATTTTGCAAGCTGCTGCATGCACAGAGCTTGTAGCTTCAGACACAGGAGCTCTAAGTGGATGAACGATCTGTGCTTGTGGAGCATTTTGCATGAGAGGTCCTTTCTCAGGAAAATTTGGACTAGTTGCACTGACTAGTGGAAACTGGTTACTTGTGATGTTAAATTATCTAGGAAGCAGGCAGATAACACTAACTGTCTCCCAGAGTGGTTCCCCAGAGCAAAATCACTACATTGTGGAATAGCTTCCTTCAAGCATTTAAAATTTGTATAATTGCAGATTATTCTCAAAGGCCCTACAAAAATGTTTTCTAGCTGCACAGTTTAGAAAGTCACAAATAAATGCAACAGTATTCCAAAAATTTACTTTAATCCCCCATTTCTCTGTCATTTTGTTTGGCTAATGCTTTACTAGAGAATGAAATAGCAGGAAGCTGAGTAATTTTGGTTGTCATTAAAGTGTTGTATATAAACACGAAAATTCAGAGTAAGGCATTCTCAACAGAAGCTTGAGGAACATACATTTTCATGCCCAGCAGAACTAATATTCTAGTTTCTTCCCAGAAATAGTGGAATGTTTCTTGCATATAAATCCCCAAATACTTTTTAAATTTTACAGGTAAAAAGCATTATTTCATACAACATTTTTTAAAAGCACTGGTTTGGTATTTCCTTCCATTTTGCCTACTATAGGATTATGAATATGGAAGGAAGCAGTTCAAAGAAAATCATGACGTACAGAAGACACTTACTTCCATAAACTGAATTAAATAGTATTTGTTTCAAACAACATCTAGAAACACTGTAGAGATGTATATGAAATATACATATCATGGTAGGTAGTTATTCATCCCCATATTTTTGCCTGCCAGCATTACTGCAAATAACACGGTTTTCTTGACATGCCTTATGGAACAGTTTATTATTTTCATAAGTAGTCACATGCATTGAAGGTAGAATCACCAGCAGTGCATTTAGCACCCCAAATCAGAACCAGAGAGGTCAAGCTTACAAATCTGTCCTGCTGAATGACAAGTTAGCTGGTGTATGAAATGACAGATCTCAGCTGTAATAAGGGAGTGCGTTGACTTAAGACATTTCTTCTGGAGCTGCTTCTGCTTCCTGAGTTGATTTCTCTTCAGGCTTGCTGTCACGGATAGGAGATGCACTACAGCTGGGCTTGTTGCTGTCATGAGCGCTGTGACTGCTGGCGCTGCCAAGACGAGTTGATGCCACAACAGCTTTTACTGCAGCCTGAGAAAGACAGGATCATACAAGCATTCTTTAAAGGATATAATCTGCCAGCATTACAGCTATAGAATCACAGCTGTGGTAGCCACAGCACCACGGTGCTGAGAATACAGCGCTGCTTGTTCTTCAGCAAAACTTCATCTAGATATCTCCAGGACAAATTTAGAAGGCTATCTGATGTATGTGACTGCAGTTTAAAAGAGCTGCTTTTATAATGTTACAAAGTTGGCCTACATGAATATAAATTTTATTTCAGCTGCACACACAGCATTATTTTTGAAACTGTGTCAGACCTCTTGCTCTGAAGTTAGATGGCAAAAACAAAGCTTCTTTCAATCATAGTAATTATTATCATTGATGTATTACTTTATTATCATTGATTACATAAGGAAAACATGTATCTACATATACACATACATATATTCATACAGACATATATACAAGGGCCATTCTGAAAGTAATGCCTCCTATATAAGGGTGAAGGTGACAGCATCCTGGATTGTATCACTACTGGTGATGAGACATAGTGTCACCACTGGGCCAGAGTCAAAGCAGAAGTCTGTGGAACGGTGACATATGAATTCCCCATTAATGAAGAAATTCAAGATGTAGCCTTCAAGAGTAAAGTGATGTGTACTGTCTTTTGGGATAGGAAAGGAGTAATCCATCTGACTTTCCTGGAACATTCCTGGAACCACCAATTTTGACTGCCGCATCACAACACAGACTAAGCCAGGCATGACTAAGCAGTGGTCTGCAGGCTGCATGCATTCCAACACAGCTTGTAATGTGGCCCACCACTGGTGGTGACTTCTCCTTGTCAAGTGGCCAGGTGTGCATCCATTGCTCGCAGTGTGCAAACTGCAGTGTGCAATCTGCTCTGTTAGAGCTGATACAAGGGCACGAGGAGGGTGCAGTGCAGCACTAATTCAAATTATAGCAAACAACTGTATGCACTGTAATACATTGGCTGAACACTGTTTTGTGAATAGAAAAAACCATGCTGCCGTGCTTTCTGTTTTCATACAGCAATTTGAGAACAGGCTTCAAGACTGCAAAAAAATATTCATTTTATGTTTGCAACTCCATTTTCAGTTATGTGAATATATTACCTGCATGTTTAATAATGCAGTGCATGAAGTTGCAATTAGATACTCAACTCAAAAATGTGATGTCTTTTTAGCAGACTTTTGTAAGACATTTCTTACCAGATATAACTGTCCCTTGCTTCACAGTCATGCTTTATTCATATAATCACTTTTGGCAGTTTGGACATTAGTGAGCAACTATTGTCAAGGATGAAGTATAGAAAAAATAAAATTTCATCAATAATCTCTGACAAGCACCTTGAGAGTTCACTAAAAACTGCAGCCACTGCTACTGAGCCAGAGTGATGCACTAGTTCACAAAAACACAGTCACATATCCAACTGGTTTTATGTTTCTGTTGATATCTGTAGTATATATTTTACAAGGGCTAGTTTGAAAGTAATACCTCCTTTCTTTTTTTTATGTTGGACCACATCAGAGGTAGATGTTGTTGGTGTTAGAGGCTAAACCTTCCCACACATATTCTGTTCCATTTTGCTGCTGTGTGACAGATGGCAGCAGAGGGACAACCTGACAAAATGGTGTTTGATGTGGAATTGCAGATGAAAAAAAGGTGTATCATTGAACTTTTCCATTAAAAAAAAAAAATTGCACCCATTGACATTCACTGATGCTTGCTGAACACATACAGAGACCAAACAGTGGATGTCTTTTTACCAGACTTTTATAAGACATTTCTTACCAGAGATAATTGTCCCTTGATGGGACAGTTGTGTTGGCATGTTTCAGCAGTGGTGACACTGACAGTGGGTCACCTCCACTGGTGCAGGTTTTGAAGAGTGTGGCATGAAGACTCTTGTTCACTGCTGGTGAAAATGCTAATGGTGGTGAGTATGCTGAAAAATGTTTTGTTGCTGAGAATTTGCTCTATCAAACAGAATTACTGTATTCATTGTAGCTTTTGTAATTTCCAAGGAAATAAATAGGAGGCATTACTTTTGCAGCGAGCTACATATTTACACACACAGGCACACACACACACATAAAACAGTAAATGTGGGGAACAGGCTCTCATACCACATTAAATGTCAAAACATGAGGACACATATTAAGGCAGTTATCTTAGCCCTTGCTTTTATTGCCTGCAAAAAACCAGACATATGGAAGTAAGGAGAAGAAACACTGATCTATAAACAAACCCTAGCTATTGTTGGCCTGGCCAGCAATTTGCATAGGGACCACAGAAGAAGTAAGTATGCATGAAGGAATAACAAGGAATGTGCTTGTGATGGTTTGTGATGGTTTGGAGATGCAATCATACAAAAAGAAAAAAGAAAAAAAAAAGGAAAAAATCAATGTGCAAATGAAAAAGCAAACCATATAGAAGTTGGCATCAAGTCATCTAGTACAGAACATGAAGTCAAAATGCACCAATAAATGTGGCAGCAGTTGTGTCAATAATAAATGTGTCAATAAGTCAAGACTTCTTAAAGGGAAATCATATGGATCCACATTAGAAAGCATTTCAGAAAACAAGATCATTTTAATGTAATTTACTCTCATTAGGCATGAGGATATTTATGAAACAAATTCGACAGAATCTATAAAAAAGCAAATAATCACTGAAAACTTTAAAATTAAGTAATAATTTAAGTGCTAGATTCTGAATGTGGGATGGGACAATCCCAGCTGTACGTACAGGCTGTAGGACAACAGGTGGGAGTGCAGCCTATGAAAAGGGATCTGATCTGTGTGCTCTGGATAACAGCAAGTTGAACATGAGCCAGCAGTGTGCCCTGGCTGCCCAAAGGGCCAACCGTACCCTGGGGTGCACCAGGCCCAGCACTGCCACCGGGAGAGGGAGGGGTTGTCAGCTGTGCTGTGCTGTGCGGCCTCACCTCCAGCACTGGGTGCAGGCTGGGTGTCACAGTGTAAGAAGGACATAAAACTGTTAGTGTCCAACGGAGAAGATGGCAAAGGGCAGGGTGGACATTACATGTGAAGAGCCACCAAGGTCCCCTGGTTTGTTCAGCACAGAGCAAAGGAGCTGAGAGAGGCCTGATGGTAGCTGCAACTCCTTACATGGAGCAGAGGGCAGCGCTGAGCTCCGCTCTGTGTGACAGCGACAGGGCCCGAGGGAACAGCATGGAGCTGTGCCAGGGGAGGGCAGCTGGGGGTTAAGGACAGGGTCTGCACCAGAGGGTTTTGGGCATGGGATGGGCTGCCCAGGACAGTAAGCACAGCCTCAAGCTCTGGAGTTCTGGGAATGTTTGGATAGCACTCTCAGACATAGTGTTTTGAATGTTAGGTGGTGCTGCATGGAGCCAGCAGCTGGACTCCATGATCCTTGAGGGTCCCTTCCTGCTCAGAATATTCTGTGCTTCTATGATTCTACGAATTATTCTGTAACAATGTTCCTTTATGTAAAGAAAACCTGCTACTGGTCTTGTAATTGGTACAGAGAGGGTAATTTTGTATTATTCTTACATTATTAACACAATTAAACCTTATTAGCTGGTTTACTGCTTTGTTCTTACTTTTATGGGTAGGAATTAATTATCTAAATACTTAATGCTCATTTTATATAAATATGTTAGTATAAAACACCAACTCTGTAATAACTGTTAACTCTAGATAATTCTTATTAATATTAGAGATTTGGTTGTTTAATCTTTGAGCAAAAAGCAATGAAGAAATAACCTTACAAAAAGCAACATCTGCTAAGCACAGAGGTATAAAATTGTTGACTTTATCAGTCTGAATAAACTAGGCAGCTGGTGATCAAAAGTGCAAAACTATGTAGAGAATCAATTCCAAGTGTAGAGAGAGAGGATGTTCTTTTTGACCTTCTGGGCAGAGAATGTAACAGCTCACTCATAAATAATTAATTTTACGACTCTTTTCAGTGCTCTTGAATAATTTCAATATAACAAGATTGCATGACATCTTTGGTGAATACACAGCAATCCTGCTCTTAGACTACAGAAATCTTTTAGAAGGGAACAGTGTTAATACACATGTCACCAGTTCTGCACATGCAAAATATCACTGTGAATTATATCTTCCGTGTCCTAAATGACAAAATTTTTTCTTTGCTCTTTGTCACTGTACTATAATAAAACTTATAAAAAATGAATAAAATGAAAATTAAGGGTCATTTCTCTGTGCATTTAATTTTGCACGGGGTTATAAAATTCACAGACAAGATGCTTTTTACTCTTATTCCACAGGGCTACAAAGGTAGCCTCACTCTAGTCGCTGAGCTTAATGATCCCTGTGCTTAAGCCATCTTGGAAGTCTTCTCTAAGCAGATACAAATCTTGAACAACTGAAGAAAGGACAAGGGGAAAAGAAAGTTTCTTGATGTTTTGTCAGTTAGGTGCTCAATCACCTGTAATTTATTATTTACACATAATAAATCTTATCCTCCCTCCTCTCATGGTAGATAAGTAGATTAGATAGTAAAGGAGCAGTCTGATGACTCAAAATTCTCACTGCAGGTCTTACAAGCATTCTTGCTTTACAGAATCTAATCTTCAGATAAATAATTCCACAATTGCTTTCGCAGATACTTGTAAAGTTTTGGCCTGTTAATCACAGCTCAACACCTTGTATAAGGTGCTCAAAATGCTGGCTCTACTATAATGCCATGAGTTAAATTCCTGCTTTGCACTGACAGATGTAGAAAATGTAGGTGGCTTATATATCAAACGCTTATATGGTAGACTATGTACTTCCCGTATTTATGGATGAATATCTCATGAATACACCACTCAGCATTTTTTTCATTCTTGTCAGCACTCCAAACATACAGACAGCAGTACTAAACAAGACAGACCAACAGATGGAAGAATAGATGGATGGATGGAAAGATGCATGGAGGGAAGGGAGGTAAGAAAGAAGGAAATGATTTGGGGAAAGATGTTAATATTCTTGGCAGCTTTGTTTGTGTAGAGCTTTCAATCAAATCTCATTTTTATTTGCCAGCTGCAGATATTAACTAAATAATTTTTGACTTTTCCACCTACATCAGATATTTTATATAAAAAACTTTAATACGTCTATATGACATTACTCTGGAAAGTCTACAAGACCTCTGTAGTCTACTGATTTTATTGCAAACTTTCAAAGTCAAAATAGAGACTAAGTCCAGAGACTTGCCTTAAGTTTACGCCGGGCATTGAATTCTTGAAGCTTCTTTTGTGCGTTGTCCATGTGTGCAAAATTTGTTGCTTTTCCTGTGACCCATGGATGCTGCAAAGCCTGTAGAGTGGTGAGGCGTTTCTTGGGATCTAAAACAATTAACTTTTTAACCTGCATCACAAAGACAAAATAGAGTAGACTGTTAACCTTACTCCATGTACATACATGCACCCTGTAATCACTACCAGATATGTAAAAAATCAAATGCTTCATTTAGTCACTATATAACCATTTGTAAACATGAACTAGAAAGTACTGTGTAAGTATTTATTTTGTAGCCCTCTCTGAAGCTAATGCTATCTATGCTATTGCTTTTGCTGTCATTACCGGGAGGGCTGCACATCTACAAATGCAAGAGTAGGAAACTTCTGGGAGGGAAGTACTGTAGACATATCTCTAGAATGGAGATGGTGCAGACTGCTGGGTGCAAAGTCCAGACAAGCTGCACTTCATGGCGTTTTCTGCATGTTCTGGAAAGGTTATTTTATTTTATATATTTTTTAAGGATGCAGATGGAGTAAAGTAGCGTAAGGACAGTACTTAGCAGCAGTACATTGACGCAGATTTCCTTCCTATATAAATTCTGAGAATTGCAAGTGACAGCACAGTCCACTGCTGCTTCAAGACCAGGTGTGAAAGGTGGATTTACCTCAGGTTCTCTGAAATTTCCTCACAAAGAGCTTTTAAGCAGTGGCCTGACAGTGCCTGACATAGGAGCAAGGGAGTGGCCTCTGTGGCATGTATGTACTGTGAGTCCATTGAAAAGGTAAAGCTAGGCAAATCACAGAATCACAGAATCACGGAATGCCCAGGGTTGGAAGGGGCCTCAAGGATCATGAATCTCCAACCCTCCTGCCACATGCAGGGCCACCAACCTCCCCACTCAATGCTAAACCAGGCTGCCCAGGGCCCCATTCAATCTGGCCTTGAACACCTCCAGGGACAGGGCATCCACAACCTCTCTGGGCAGCCTGTTCCGGCACCTCACCACTCTCTCTGTAAAGAACTTCCCCCTGACATCCAACCTAAATCTCCCCTCCTTCAACTTAAAACCATTTCCCCTTATCCTACAGTTATCTACCCTTTCAAAGAGTTGATTCCCCTCCCCTCTGTAGGCTCCCTTTAGGTACTGAAAGGCTGCAATGAGGTCACCCCACAGCCTTCTTTTCTCCAGGCTGAACAAGCCCAGCTCCTTCAGCCTATCTTTGTAGGGGAGCTGCTCCAATCCCCTGATCATCTTTGTAGCTCTCCTCTGGATCCTCTCCAACAGCTCTCTGTCTTTTTTGTACTGGGGGCTCCAGACCTCCACACAGTACTCCAGATGGGGCCTCACAAGAGCAGAGTAGAGGGGGACAATTCCCTCCCTGTCCCTGCTGGCCACCCCTCTTCTGATGGAGCCCAGGATACCATTTGCCTTCTGAGCTGCAAGGGCACATTGCTGGCTCATGTTAAGTTTTTCATCTATCAAGACCCCCAGGTCCTTCTCTGCGGGGCTGCTCTCAAGGACTGCTCAAAGCATGAATTTTGAGAGCCATGGCTTCCATCCTTATCTGAAGCTTGTTACACAGTGTTCAAAAGTGAAACTGTGAGCTTTACTATAGCAAAATGGTAGAAACCAGTTTGGACCAAAGCTCTTTGTGTACACAAAACACATTGTTTTGCTGCAGGCTGCTGCTTGTCTGACTTCTGATGACAAAAAGACAGTAGATGGTGCTTTCTTTAGCTTACGAAATCTTCAAATCTAATTAAAAAATACTCTGAATTTCTACAATGGCTTTCACTTGAGACATCCTGAAATACTTAATAAACACACCAATGCAAGCATTTTTATGATACTGTTTGTACAAGTAGAATGGAATTGAGAATTTATATCTTCAGTGTCAGTGAAATAACTGAACTGAGGAAGTAACCAGATAGGTATAATGCAAAAGATTCTGCACTCTCATTTTTGTTTTACTTACTAAATCCTTGGCATTCAGAGACACATCATCCCACCAGGGGGACACAAAGTCATATTCACAGTTCAGGGTTCTCTTATATATGTACTGATCTCCCCTTTCATCATAAAATGGTTCAAAGCCACAAAGTCTGCAAAGACAAAAAAAGAGATAAGTTTATCAAACATTACTTGGTCTCATGTTGCTAGAAATAGCTCCTGATTGATCTTTCCCATCTTCATGACGTATGCCCCACACTGGGAAACCATGCCAGCATGCATACAACAGAGCAAACCAAAGTGATGCTGTAAGCATTCACAAGCACTGGCAAAGGCTGATCAAACTGAGTATCTTCCACCATCAGTTATCTGTGATTGGAACAATTAATATAGTGACTTAACGTAAAAGTAGCTATAAAATGTCATACCAAAACTTCTTTAAGCCTTTCAGCCTCTAACTATCTCAAGTCAGATGTCTAATGAGGAGTACAAAAACTGTGGCTCAGGATTCAACTTCCATGGATCTTTAGTCTCTTGAGATTTTCCAGTCATTTTTTGAGCTAGCTGAACACAAGCCAGAAGTGTGCCCAGGTGGCTAAGAAAGCCAATGCCACCCTGGTTTGTATCAGAAATACAGCAGTAAGAGGGAGGTGATCATCCCCCACTGGTGAGGGTGCATCTCAAATATTGTGTTTAGTTTTGGGCTCCTCACTACAAGACATCAAGGCCCTGAAGCATGTCCAAAGAAAGGCAATGGAGCTGTGAAGGCTCTGGGCACAAGTCTTTTGGGGAGCAGCTACATCAACGGGGATTGTTTAGTCTGCTAAACAATAGAGAAGGCTAAGGTGAGACCTTATTGCTCTACAACTGCCTGAAAGGAGGTTGCATTGAGGTGGGGGTTGGACTTTTTTCCCAGGTAACAGTGATAGGATGAGAGGCAATTGCCTCAAGTTGTGCCACCAGAGGTGCAGGCTGCATATCAGGAAAAATTCTTCTCAGAAAGAGTGCTGAAGTATTGGAATGGGCTGCCCAGGGAGGTGTTGGAGTCACCGTTACTGGAGGTGCTCAAGAAATGTGAAGATAGGGCACTAATGGACATGGTTAGTGGGTATGGCAGTAATGTTCTGATGACTGAACTTGATTATCTTGGAGGTTTTTTCCAAAGTTAATGATTCTGTGATTCTATCCTGTGGTCAAGCACATCAGAGCTATCTTCACTCCTTGGCTGAAATATCCCACTGAGCGTTTTCATTCACTGACCTCCACACTTGCTCCCGAGAAAAACTGCAAAAAGCTGATCTCCATTTACCTTCTATATGCCAGAAAGCACTTTCTTGCACCTATTCTTTCTGCAGATCTCTGGCTGAAAGCACTGAAATTATTTAGTTACCCCTTTGTCTGAAACCTTTGCTCTTTCCTGCCCTTTTTTTTGAGTCTTCTTCAGTGTTTTTTAAAGAATATGCAAATGCTGTTCAAAAAGCACACTCTCTTGAGTTTCATATTAGCATAAATATGCTTCCCATTTTGATTTCAATTTATTTCCTAGCAATTCTTGTCCTTGGGCCGGCTTGTCTGGATTGTTTACAAACAGAAAGCATGTTCAGACAGTAATTAGCAGAACCCCTGTATCTTCTCCCTGAGAGAAAAAAAAAAAAACAGCAGCAGTCCTTCATTTTGTCTGTGAAGTTAGAAGCTTTTATCTATCAAATTTGTATTGTTACCATTGTACATTCTTTCATTCTATCATTCAGGTATTCAGTAATGAAAAATCCTTTGGCAGTTTTTCATTATCAGCTCTCATCTTGTAACTTAAGCACTGTAAAGAAGTTTTGCAATGACACTAATGAGTGCATTTATGAAAATACTGAACAGTATAGATCCTGACAGATCCGCACTGTTAATCCCAGGGAAAGTAAACTGATAGAAACAGTTTCTACTGTATTATGTATATTACAGTCTATTATATAACAACATTTTTGTGCTTTTCAATCACGCCTCCACAAATAATCAGATGCTTCAAAGTGAATTACCTTTTCAACTAATAAGTTTTCTGAGCTAAACAAAAATTCCATCCACTACTCTGTCCCTGGAAAATGCAACAAGCAACAAGATGATTATAGGAAAATAACAGGAAACTGCAAAACAACAGATTGAAATCTAGGTAACTTTACATTTTAACTTGTTTTTATTTTTATTTTTAAAGTCAATCAGTGTGCTTACTGCCCTGAAAAAGGAGACAGATGTTCAAGGAACAAATGTGTTTTTTTGAGAGTGGTATTCAGCCTGAACAGCTGCATCACTGCACTGATGCAGAGGAAAAATTCTCTACCACAAGCACATTCTGGATGTGTTACTCAATTCCATGTTTGACAGAGATGGCTTATAGTATAAGGATTCAGTCTACAAATACAGGAGTTCAGTAGCTGGGAGCCAGTCATGGTCATCCTACCCCTTCCCTTCCATTTGCCTTTCTCAGAACTATATTTGAGCTTGTTTCATGTTAGCTCCTTTCCCTAAAGAGTATCTCCATGATTACAGCTGTTGGACCACTAATAGTTCAGTCAAAATCAGCTTCTGGTTACCAGGTAACTGATTACATATAGTGTAATAGTGTAATTACATATAGTGTAACTGTACTTAAAGCTTGCTCTGACTGTGTTGGAAGTCTTTAAAGTGAGTCTCTGTACATCTAAAAATATTTTCATCATAATTCACTACTATTGCCCACTGTAATCTAACTAAGAATTCCTACAGATACATTTCCACTTCTCAAAAAATCTCCATTTCATTAGGCAGATCATTCGCAATATGCCATATTATGTCAGTAAAACTAAATATTTGGTTTCAAAGTAGATAAATTAAGTCAGTTAAATCCAGCATGGCTGCTCTCGATTTCATTTATACCAGGATTATGCTGATTCATTTTAAATCATTTATCAATACAATAAAGAAAAGTCAGTGTAACAAGGCTCAAAATCAATTAGAATTTACCACAAATTTAACACAAAGCACCACAGAGCTTTGTGCTCTTTTCAGTCTGCTGGTAAAAAAAAAAAAGCACAAAATACCTTTATCCACGCAATCCATGCAATCCTGACTATAAACAAAGCCTACATACTTGTTGACTGCTATGTAGCAAATGCACAATGTTATCCCTCTTTGTTGTTAAAATTATAAATGTGACTTCCCTGGAATTCTGAAATCAGAGTCACTGTTCTATCAAGTATGGGTCAAAAGTTGTTTTAATCACCTGATACATAAAGTCTGTACTGGTGAGAAGACAGAGGTTTATACACACATCTTCTGTAGCAAGGTAGTTAACTCCATTTAGTTAAGGTAGCCTGCTCCATTTTAGGGGAACAGACAACCATATATTTTTGGACTGTGTGTATGCTCATTCCTCCTGCTAAAATATGAAACTGGGACATGCAAAATTGTCCTTTAGGCTGCAGGATTAATAAATTAGGTATTGTGAAGATGCCTTTCTGGTCTTAGCTTTCTAAACATTCAGAAATGTTGATCTACGAAGCTTTACACTAACTGGAAGAATACAACTGTGGAATGTAACAAAGATAAATAGAAGAGCCAATCAAGTGCAACACAATACTACCCTTTTTTGTTTGGCTACTCCTGTAGATCAAGTAGTATTTTGATGGGGAAGTAGGAGGAGAAGACCAGGATGAAAAGCAGGGGATTATCTGCTCTTGTTGTGTTGCACAGCAGGAGCTCATATGCTTGTTTGCACCAGTGCAGATACTTAATGAAGCCTGGAAGCATGTCCTGAACAGCTGGAAGAGGTAGAAAGGCTGTCCATAGCAAATAGCGCTCCACATAGTATAACAGAAATCTGGTATATGATTTCACTTGGAGCCTGACTACACCCAAAAGGAAGCTCTGCTTAAAGAAGGCTCTCAATTTCAAGCACAAAATCTACACTTCAATTATTCAGTAGTCAGGCAAGCCCATGCCTTAATTCATACATCTGTGGAGAGGAAAAACACTTCTCTCATCTCAGAGACAGTCATGCTTACATCTTACATCTCATATCTCTCTGTTAAGTATGGGCCATTAGAACTGATGAGAAATGGTCAATTGGATGAATAACCCACTCTTCCACCAAACTCAACCCTGAGCCTGAAATGTGGCCACTTTGTGGATGACAGCAGGGCCTGTGCCTAACCTCACAGCTCTAAGACACTTCAACTTTTACACAAATAAACGGTATGAGCTGAAATAAAAGTGGGAATTACAACTATGTTAGCACTATTAGGACACTGAGTATAAAGAAGAGGCAGAATTTGAGATGTAAAACAGACCTTGAGACAAAGATTCACATTTAGAAATTGAAGGTAACAAAACTGTAACAAAAAATGACAAGGACGGAAAGCATGGCCTCCAAAACTCATCATTAAGACACGTATGCATTTCCTGACATATTAGAGAAATACTATAGCTGATTTTTTATTGGACAAATGAGAGCCATTAATTATTTGAAGCTCATGGATAGAGGATGTTTTATATTATTTTCATCAGAGTTTTTATATACCCTTAAATGTAATTCTTGTATAAATCCCAGAAAATATAATTATTTCCAGAAGGTAGAAAGAAAATAATTGCATTATTATGCATTGTAATTGTGGGACACAGTTAGTGAGTCCTAGAAGGGGAAAGAAAATGGGCCTAAATATAGAAAACCTTCTGTATTTTTAATGTGTATGTGCAAAATCCCATTTTTCTCCTATAAAAGGCATCCTGCTAGCATCATATACAACTACATAAGCCAGCTTAGCATCTGTGTTGCCAAGGGAATAAATGAAGTTATTCATTCTCCCATGAAGACAAGTGCCAATACAAAAGACATAATTCTCCTTTCTCAAAGATCTTCGTTTGAAAGATTCCACTGATAGAATAACATAACTGCAATACTTAGCAATTGAATTGGGACTAGCTATATTAAAATGCAGCCATAAATGCTTACCTCTAGATGCAACTGTTGGAAAATGTTGGTCTACATTTGCAATTTCAGCTGTTTCTGCATGCTCACAGATAACAGCTGAATCTCTGGATATTTTGTAAGACAAGGAACACTTATTTTCAACACTTATCATTTAACCAATCAGACTGTTGCAAAGACATTGTTCAGGGCTGTCCGCTGCTTTCTGACTAAAATGGGGCTGAATCTATGTTTGCAGAGGCATGGCAGCATCAGTGGCTGACAGAGGAATGTGTCTTTGAGAATGTTCAGGGGTACTGTAAAGCTATTGCATGCACCTTAGCTTTTGTGTGCCCCATCTGTAATCGAAAAGCTACTTAAAATTATGGTACATTTTACAGTCTGTATGAATGAGAAAAAAATGTACACATTCTGACATTTCTATCCTTTTTTTCCTTCTGCTTTCAGCAGCTTGACTGCTTTTCATTCACATTAGTAGTACGATTCTGCACAGACCTTGCTGCTATTCAAGATGAAATGTTATATTCATCAAATATGTAATCTGAATATTTTGCCATGCTCCCTTAGCATCTGACTTCTTTATACTACTATAGAAATATCATAGCTCAAGTTTAGCATCTCTTCGTTTTCCAGCAGCACAGCTCGCATATACTGCTCATACACAGTGCATAGTACGTAGTGCATAAAGTCATACATGATTTTTTTAAAACAAAGGAGGCAGCTGCATACCACCTTATGACATCTGCACTTACAGAATGTAGGTGATGATCCCTAGAGACCACATGTCCACTTCGGGGCCATAGGCACATCCTCGTAGTATCTCTGGTGCTGCAGATGATAAAAGTCTTGTCAATAAGATGAAATTCGAATCCAGAAATTACTGTCACAAAAGTCACCAGTATAAACTCAGTGCATATCTGCAAGCATCTTTGAAACAAGGTCTACTCCTTTAAGTTCTTAGTTAGGCAGACGATTCCCTCCACTCAGCATAAAGAAATAAAAGACATGTGCAAGCAGTGACAGAATAAAGTGCAAAATGAATGGTGAACTTCAGAGACAAAGAGCTTTTTGGATTTAGGTTTGCAAATGTAAAAGGAATAGCTACACAACACTGCAGCTACAATGCGACAAAAGTAGGTAGCATTCTTACTTTGGTATTTTATTTATTTACTTGGTACTTTGAATTTTATTTCTGAAATTTCAATTGCATGAATATTTCTAAAGTTTATGAGAAACACTGTAAGTGTGCTTTATTCCACTTTACCATTTTCACCACATCCCAGTATTACTTAATTCCTTTTACAGCCTACCTCTTCCTTCCCTATTCCTTCATTTTGATTTTTCTCATCTGTGGTTCAGCTTTAGTCTACTCGAGTGCACTACAAGGAAGTTGAGCACTGTGTCCCTCTGTCAGGTGAGGGACAACAAGTATGGCCACCTCAGACATGGATCTTTCCTTATTTTCCTATAAGGGAGTTCAGCCCTAAAGAAAGCAAAGAGCAATTCAGGCAATTGCTCTTGCTGCATGTGTGCAGCAACATCCCTGCAAAGCACCACTTCCCAGAGCATGACCTTTAGTCTTCTGCCTCCCTGATAGCCTCTGGGCAGCTTGCTCAGATTTCTTCAACCAATCTAAAAGAACCAATCAAAAAGATCCACCATGCCAAAACATACCAAGCATTTTTTCAGATGATTAGTATAGAAGGCAAAGTGCATTAATCACCAGGTTTTGCTATATAGCTATACTTGGGAGCTGGGCAAATGCTTCCTACTGTATGCACTAGAAAAAGAGATATTACCTAATGTCCCCTCTGCCATATTTGCTAACTTCATGTGGGGCGCTTTGAGCTGTAATTCTGTGATTCTGAACAAGACAGGACAGTTTTTATGTTTATTGGCTGATACTATTCTTCTAGAGGAAACAATATTTCTAGTAATATCTTCTTGTTTAGGATAAGGAAGAAGACTTCCAGTCCTTTTCGTTTTCTGCTCCTTCCACCAATACTCTGTAAAATGACCACAAAACAGCCCAAAAACCTATATGCTGAGGTCTGCCTTGCTATCTGGACCATGATTACACAGTTAAATGATTCCCCTGTAAAGTTTGCTTGTGGAGAATGGACTGCACTGATTTATTGCTGTTATTTTAGATGTTGGCAGTAACAGACGCCCATGAATCACTGGTCTATGTTGTATGGTTTTCTGTGCTACTGTAAGCAATCCCCTCCTTCTGCAGTTCACTCAAAGGACAACGACTCAGCAAGTTAAATTCTTTGTGTCCATCTTCTTGTTTCCAGTTTTCTGCATTACTTCGCTTGTTGCAGGCACTGTGCGATGGTGAAGTCTTGATTCCAAAATATCCAGGCTCCAAGTGTATGTTTTCCTTGCTGTGCCCTTTCTGGAGAAACAGCTGATGGGAGAGTGGGCAGGATGTGGGAGCTGGCTGCCTGAGACTATCAATTATTCATAGTTTAATTTGGCATTCCAACAGTACTCCTTCTGGTTTTCTTCCACTTCTGGAAAGTAACGCTGGATTATCTTCCAAGCACCAGGAATTCTGCATGGTCAGTTAACTCAGATCATAAGGCAAGAATTGCAGATTCACGTCTGAAGGAACAAAGCTCCTTTCACACCTCAGCACAGACATTCCATCTCACCTCTCTTACCAAACCATCTCTACTCTGAGGGCTCTTTTGTGCATAAAAGCCTCATAATATTTTTAACAATACATAAAGATAGTCATTTAAAGGCCTAAATAATAACAAGAGTTTTATGACATTTGTAGTCTAACAGCAGTGAGAAAACAACAAGACTCAGAGTACAGTCTTATGACACTAAGTAGATAGGAATTCAGAGCTTCTCTAAAGCACACTTAGTATACTTGGCACCTATGTGTGCTTGGCAGACTAAGACATACAAGCCAATAGACATGTTACCTGAATGTCATTATCAGCTGGGCTACAAGCTCATTAATTTCATGGTCTTCTCCACTGTCTTCTATCCTTTGCTTCTACGCTTGAGAAGCCAAATATCAAGTCTTTAGTTTCCACCCAGCCTGGCTTAGCTCCATCCTAAACTACCTGATATGCTTACCTGCCAGTACACTCCTAGGAAGCTGAATTCAGGACTAAGAGTTCATTAAGAATGATGGAAATTAGCTTCTTCATAGGATGACATGGGTGCTAGAGATGAGTATCCACCATGGCAATCATAGCAAGTTTGCTGTAGGCTAACAAGATCACCACTATCCTTGGCTATCAGCTTGTTTCTTGACACAAAAGCAGCTAGCAGTGAAAGGTAAGTAGAAAAGGCAACTGCAATGCTCTTTTTCATGAGAGACTCTTTTTGCATGTTTTGGCTATGGAGGATCCACTTCTGGTGCACTTTCTGGCTGTATGAATTCAGGAGAGCTTCTCCTCCAGGCATCCACAAGGTGGTTATTACTTGCTCTGTCAGCAAATGTGTGCATGTGACAGCTGTACTGGCAGCCTGGCAGCATGCATGGTATGCCCCAGAGAAAGCTGCTGGACAGTCTGTGAGGCTCTTTTCAGCACTGATATTGCATTCATTATTATACTGTATTGCATTATTGCATAACATAACATAACATAACATAACATAACATAACATAACGCTATGCTACGCTACGTTACGTTACATTATGTTACATTAACAATTATATCAATTATATAGGTCCTGCTCTGGCACAATCTAAGCAAAACTGCATTTAAAACCATATATTATTAAATGGCTAAATAGTTTGGGATTAGGGGGTTAAATTATGAGCTGACTGTAAGGGATAATTTGATTTCCTCTGCATTAAAAATAAATTCCTCTGCATTTAAGATAAATTCACCATAATTAATATTCAAATATTTGTAACCTCCTCTATGTTTTTAGTGTTTTCCACTATGCCTTGCATTGTCCAAATTTCTGGAGATGTTTCTAAAGTACTGTATTGGTAGTGTCAGCATTTTTATGATGGTTTGGACTTATTTCCGTTCAAGTAATGAACTTGTACTGTAACAGATTTTGATTAAGCTTCAGTATTGGAGGGTGTATATTTAGAAAAATTGAATATGGTCCCAATTCTGAATTTCAGTTTTCTATTTATTTCTTTTTTAGATTCTTTTTTTAGATTGTTTTTGAATTTTGACTTTAGGAAGAAAAATTTCACCTCGGACAGAAAAAATGTAACATTCTCACATTAAGTACAGTAAACTGTAAATAATAAAACAACATACCGCAGTACCCTGGAGTTCCACAAACTGTCTTCATGGTCACCTGATCCTCCACAATCTTGGAAAGCCCAAAATCAGCTGTTAAGATTTTTTAGAAATATTAGTGTTTTTACTTCCTTATAAAATAATGATTGTTACATTGCACATGTAGTTAAATGAGCAACTATGCATTAAATGTACAGTACTGTCATTTTGAGAAATGATGGTCAGTTTAAGGAACCTGCCCAGACTGCAGTGCAGAAGCAAAAAACTGTCTGTACAAATGAGTATTCTTGGCTGACACAAATGTAACTTGTTTATCCCGAGGATTGCACATAGGCAATATAGTGAGATGCCTGGTTGTAAAACCAGTGATGCAGAAACTTGTGTTAGGCACATATCCAGCTTTCACTTTGTGAGTAATTCAATAAATATAATAATTCAATAAAGTAACAGAAGAGAACAGAATTTTTGTCCGAAAAATCATACTGCAGTGATTTCTTGAACAATTTTGGTAATGACAATCTGTCCTTAAAAATACAAAATAAATATATTTGTGTTTTGTTACAGTGAATATAAAAAATGTACATTTTGATCAGGATAAAAGCAATTCATATTTTATTCTATACATTTATTGTTAGTGTTCCCTTATCCCTAAAACGTTCAACATTATGCATTATAATTGATCTAAGCAGTAATATATTTTACAAATACTGCCATCCACAGATCTATCTTTCCGCAAGGCAATAAGCTTAATCAAAATATAAAGAACTACTCAATTTAAGAACAAAGTACAACATACTGTCTTTCCATCCCTCACTGCTGTAGGAGTTGCAAGATATACAGCACCTATACAATAAAGTGTGTGTAGTGCTGGGTTTGTCACACAGAGGGTGTAATTTTGAAAATAGCCCATCTTATTCCAAAGTAGCCTATTTTCTATTTTTCTTAAATTTTGTAGGTTTTTAATGTCAGTAAAGTATAGGTAGCAGCTATGTCTTCATATTTCACATAGAAATCTTGCTTAGGAGAAATAACTGTAGCATTACACCTAAGCCTAGCTGCTGTCTCAGGATGATGATTCCTGCCATCTCTTGAAACTGACTAAGCTGAGCTAGTTAAGTGGAGCTATCTTTTCAGCAGAGCAGCTGTACTTTCTTCTCACCTCAGTTCTATCTAATTTGTGATTCACTGATATGGCAGCACCTTTGGAACAGGCTGGCATCTGAGACAGAAAAGGGAAGGAGGGGCTGAGAATGGGGGTGAAGATGCTGCTCTTCTGAGGATGAATGCTCCAGAAGCCCATACTACTAGCCATAAAACCATAGCTGCTGGGTACTACATTAAACTATTACATATAACAGTGGTTCAGAGCCACGAGAAAATGTAAATGCAGATACTAGCATCCTGAGATGCAATGCTTTCCTAGAAATGTGTAAAAAAATTCTTAAAAATAGTTTGTGGAAAAACTAGCTTCTGAAACCTGTGATGAACACAAGTATAATGAATATGGAACTTTCACTGCTCACATGCTCACCTGCTCCCTGGCAAAGGAGCACAGAGTGGTACTTGCAAACAGACAGAGCAGTGAATATCTGGAATACAATTGCTGGAAAACAGCACATGACAGAATTCTTTAAGAAGGTGAGAGCAGGAGCCTCCAGGTTTTTGTTCTTTTAGTCTGTACAGATCAGTCCTTTTCCAGCTTGATAAATCTGGAATGCCACAACCCACATCCCACCAGGGGGCCCTGTACTGCTCTTTTTGTATGAACTAGGTCAGCAGCTGTCCATGGCTGAACACAACATGATGCCTGCTGGATTCCTCAGACCTCCACTTTGCTACAGGAAGAGTGGGACATGCTCAGCTTTTGGAAGTCAACTGACGTATAACATCCTCACTAGGGAGAGCCTGACCTCTTCCTCACCCCTCGCTGTTGCTGTTTCAGGGTGCAATTCCTGTGCCCTATAATGATGAGCATTTCTTCTCATCCCACAGGTCTGCCCTGAGGACATACTTGGTTTGTTTACTTTCTTTTTCTGCAAACTTGCACTTATTGTGTCTATGAATCTTCTCCCTTATAATACTATTTTAGCAAAAAAAAAGGACACAGAAGTGGTGCATACAACTCACTCCATGATCCTTCTTGTTATACCTGTGCTCTTATTGTCTACAGTTTTCTGCAGTATTTAAGCTGTAAATTAACCACAACAAGAATTCACTTCTGTGTTTTTAAAACACCATGCACCATCATGTTTCTGAAGTAGTAATTTACTGTTCATTTGAGTATAAGCATTAGCTTAGAACAAAGTGATGGTAAGAATTACATACTTCTAGCACATACTACTGGTAAGAAGTAGTACTACTTCCCTAAGAAATTAGGGAAACATCTATTTAGCGCTGTTTACCTATTTTCAGTGGTGCATCTGGGGCTGGTGTTGCATAGAGCAGATTTTCTGGCTTCAAATCACGATGCACAATCCCATTTGCATGCAGGTACTGTAAAGAGAAAAGTAAAAACATTTACCTGATCATAAGATAGTACAGTCAAGCATGAGTTAACACCTTCCTAGTAATCTATAGCAGCAGTCCACTGACTGCTACTTCTGTGACATGAAGTCACTTAACCAACTTCCAGCATCTTTTTATTGCAGACCTTCTCAGTATGGGATCCTTAGAAGCACACTAAGATCGGAATAGGAAACTACAAATTGGGAAAGCAAAGAAGACATGTTCATTTGAGAATAAAAGCTTCTCAGAAAACATTACTGACTTTTTAATACAGAGAAAACTACTAGGAAGTAATCTAACAAACGCGGAGATACAGAAATCTGGCTGTCATGGTTTTATGATTTTTGATTATCGGTACCTGGTCCAGGTCTATAAATATCTAAGGTGTGGGGGGCAGAATGGCGAGGCCGGACTCTTTTCAGTGGTGAGTGGAGACAGGACAAGGGGAAACGGCTGGAAACTGCAGCACAGGAAGTTCTGCACAAATGTGCGCAAGAACTTCTTTACAGTGAGGTGACGGAGCACTGGAACAGGCTGCCCAGGGAGGTGGTGGAGTCTCCTTCTCTGGAGATGTTCAAGACCTGCCTGGATGCCTACCTGTGCGACCTGGTGTAGGGAACCTGCTTTGGCAGGGGGGTTGGACTCGATGATCTCTGGAGGTCCCTTCCAACCCCTACAATTCTGTGATTCTGTGATTCTGTGGTACTCCAATCATATCATCATGTAGTGCACTGGGAGTTGAAGTGTTAATGCTCCAGTTCCGAGTACATGTCCCAGAAGAGAAGAACCACTATGTTCCCCACAAGACTGCTTGCTGTGTTGTCATCATTTCTGCTCAGGGGGAACAGATATGAGGCCTTGGTAGGTCATCTGACCTCTCTTTCTTCATCAGGCTCTCCTCCCTGCTCAAACAGACTGTGCATCTCACCTCAGTGTTACGGTGAGGCCTTTCCACCTTTCGGGCACTCTCTCATTACATTCAATTGATTATTCAATTGTAATTATATTATGTTATAGTGTGTTATCTTGCATTCCGATAGCATATTTAGTAAATTAGTTTGTTTCTTCTCAGATTGCTGCCACTGCATTTAGTTATTTTGGGTCCCCTGTTTCCCATTTCTGGAGGAGCAGATTTGTGAAATCCCTCCGCCCTGCTAGTCATGGAACCGGGCCGAACCAGCCCGCAGACCACTGGCACTGGCACTGGCACTGGCTCAGAGGAAGGCAGATTCTGTATATTAAAATATTATGAGAGATTAAAAAAAAATTTGTCATTCAATTAAACTGTTAGACTATAAAATAGACAACACAGATAAGAAAAGATGTAGCATGTGTCTTGTATAAACTATTAAAAACTTACAGTCTCTTTTGCAATCCTAGGTTTCAATTCAACACAGCTGTAGACTCTCAGGTTTCCAACTGTCTTGCTGAAACACATGCAGTACATGCACATTCACTCATCACTGGATTCATGTAAAAGCATTCCTGCCTTGCAGTAATGAAAGAAAACACTTCTGGGACATCCAGCCACCTTCCCCGTTGCAAGAGATGGACATTGACAGAAGGGGCAAAAATGGTGAAATAGAGAAGCAAATTCTGCATTTCTTGATAAAATCTTCAGCAGAAATCTCTAAAGAGATGAAGAATGATGTTTAAGGGTAGAATCTGAGCATCTTAATTGAAGATCTCCTTGTCTACCTTTAGTGGAATCTTCTCTCAGCCAAGTTTCCAGTGGTGGAAAAAATCAGAGTGTTCATTACTATGCAGAAAACAAGATTTTGAATATTTGTCTGGAAAGTACATTCATAGCGTTGAGTTAGACTCTGAGGTGAATTCTTGACTGTGTATCTCTTAGTTTGCAAACCATAGTTTGCCAGTTGCCAGTGATTACATAACATAAAGAACAGACAGCTCTTTCCTTGAGCATCATTTTAGTGAGTGCTTTTAAGTGTATGTTTTGTATAGTCTAATTTCTTGTCACAGCTGTGTTTTCTATAAATAGGTGGCTAAGTAGTTATCCAAGGTAAAAACAGACAACAATTTAAGGAGGCTTCATGGACAACATTCTGCTACATCATTTATTGTGGTCACATCTGCATGGCTGAAAAAAAACTGTGTCTAGCCTGGATAAAAGTACATCTTTATCTCACAGTGAAGAGAATCAGCAAGGATGCTCTTAGAGTTTATGCCACTGACATGTCTGACAAACAGAGGTAATCAAAGAGGAAGCACCCAAAAAATGCATCAAAAGCAATCACATCAAAGTGGAGAGGAAGGGGATTCTGAACTGATCTACATTCACATCTTGCAAATCGGTTCAGCTGACTGTTGAAATGAGAAGAGTAGATATTTCACAATCACTGACTGGAAAGCAGCAACTTCCAATTAATTTATATGAATTAGTTTAGACCACATTTGTGCAGAGAAATGTTCCAGTCAACTTTGCAGAAAGCCTTTTAGCAGATCATTTTTCATACACACGTAATCTTAAAAACTATGTGGTGTGAGGCTGAAAACATCAAAAATCTCTTAGTCCATTTTTATTGAAGGGAAATTTGGGAAGCTCTTTGGAAAAACTCTTCAACTTTTCCTCTGCTAAGTCCTGACAGTCTGACTCCCAGGGCTTCATTTCATGATTTGTAATGAATTTGCAGTGTGAGCTCTCTTTTTATTATATGCCTGTAAGAACACTTGTAAGAAAATCTCCTCCTCTGTTCAGCCTGCGATTAGCAAAAAACAGAAGATGCAGGTGGCCGACAGATGTGAATTCCCCAAAAAACGTAGTCCACACCTTTCAGAAACTGCCAATACAGCAACTCCTCCTCTGCGTTCTCTCCTCACAACATTCCAGCTCTTTCTATCCACTCTGCCACATCTCACCTTATTTCCCCAGCATCCAAGACAAGATTTCCTGCCCATCCCTAATAACATCCTTACCTCCTCTGACCTCTCCATGTGACCACATAGGTTCTTTCATGGTTGCTGAAATCTCTCTCAGTTGTCTCTGTTTTGTCTTCTTTCTCCCACAGACTCTTTGCTTAATTTTATACTGGTGGACAAGATCTGGTACTTGTCCAGCAAAGACCCACAGATATGCTGGCATGCCAGCCTGATGCTGTGTCTCCCCTACTGGCAGAAGTAATGTGTGTGGATTGGGCTGCCAAATCAGACATTTAACAGATGTCCTGTGTATCTGTGCAACTAGTATACCTGAAGCCTAGCCTGCTGTCAACTTATGATGAAGTTGACTGATAGGGTTACTAGTTGTGTTGTAAATCAGCAGACAAAAAGGACAAATCAAAAAACTCCTCAGTATTTGCACTAACGCAGACAGCCTGTTCTTCAACAACCAAGAAGAAACAATTAGCTTCATGTAACTGCAGACTTTCAACAGGAAAGATCTCTGACTGGAGTTCTCTATGATGTACCAACATCCAAAATTGAATGTCTCCAATACATGCAGAAACTCTACTTCCTTCTTTTCAGCCTAATTCATCTCTGTGCGAAGAAAAAACAACACAGCTGGGGAAGAGACTGGAATATAAGATTTAAAAGCAGTGGTTGGAGGAACTGGGATACTTTGAAGAAAAGGAGCCAAAGGAGAGAACTGATGACTCTCTTTGACAACCTGAAAGGAGGTTGCAGAGAGGAGGGAGTTCATCTCTTTTTTCAGGTCACAAGTGACAGGAGGCAAAGAAACGGTCTCAAGTTGCAACAGGAGATGTTTAGATTGCATAACAGGAAGGGTTTCTTCACAGAGAAGGGTGATCAAGCACTGTGATGGGCTACCTGGGGTAGCAGTAGAGTCTATATGTCTACAGGTATTTAGGACAGGGCACTAAGAAACATGGTTTAGCAATGGGACTTGATAGGCCAACTGGCTAGTTGAACCTTGGGCCTTGTTAGTTTGCACCAGTCCCAAAAACCAAGTGAAAAGCATCCAGAAGCCATCTACTCATTATGTCAACATAGTGGCTCCTAGAATTGAAGACTACTTGATAATTGTGTTGCATTTTATAAAGTGTGTTCACTTTATAAAATTGAATTTTATTGTGCTTTAGAAATTTTTACTGACTTTTTTAGGGTCCATCTAGAAACAGATTAATTAAATTACCATAACTCACACTCTTACAATTAATAGATATTTCAGTTTACATATGCTTTATTTCTCATATATTGATTTTAATGAATGGATTTTTCCTTTTTAGTGCCTCTGTGGCATAAATTCAAAGATAAAGATCTTGCTGTCTTCTAGTCTACAGTACAGCTTTGGGCATTACATGCTGTAACACTAGCAGAATAGTTAACCTGTGTTCTTCTACTTACATTCTATGTCTCTCAGTGGTTAAACAATACAATTAAATGCAACAATCAGGGACCAAGTGTCAAGTTAGAACAGGTACTGATTCACCTCATAATCTAGGCTTTGGTGAAATACATAATTTTTCCCATCTGTAAGTTACAGATGAGACTTGAAAAACATTTTAATTCTATCAATGATTGAAGAGTTTTTAGATGCACAATGCTGTATGAACATTTAATAGAGAATGCATGTAAAATGTGATTATAACATGAGGAGAGAGTCTTCCAGTAACTAAAAAACCTTGCTTTCACTTTCTTTTGATTTTCAAAAGGCAATATCAAACATTGAAAGAAAGTATGAGTATAGCATTTGTCTGACTGCAGCTTTGCTCATTTGTGTTAGTGAAATAAGGTGGACACAGGAAATTTAATTTTACATTATGATGCTGTATTTCCATGGCAACATTACATGGCTATACTTAGAACTAGTACGCCTTATAACATCTACGTACTAAAAGGTAAGACTTACTTACAGCAGCATTTCATCTGACTGATGAGATGTAGACAAAAGAGAGGACAGAGCATGGCCTATGGAAGAAGTCTTACAGAAGAAGCACTCTCAGTGTGAAATGGCTTCATCAGATAAAGCAGGCCCATGGCACAGGGAAGACCAATTACATCTTCAC